AAGATGTGGAATCAATACCAAGATTTTCCTTTTTTTTAATGATAAAAAAAGGGGTAGAATTGTTTAAAGGAATCCAAAAATTTAAGAATAAGTACTATTTTTATGTGGGATTGTTTTTTAAGGCTGGTTGAGAAAATTAAATTCTACAGGAAAAGTAAAAATTCAGTCTCTTTTTTTAGATTCAAAGTAAATGGAAATAGCATACTGGATAAGAAACACAAAAATACCTTTTAAACCTTTGTATTCACCAGGCTACTAAATCCACACAATAACCTTAATGTGTGGTGAATGAATTATGCCAGAATATGGCCCTTCTCAGAGAGTAGTTTTTAATTGTTCAATGCCCTTTGTCTCAATGGAATTGATTTGCATTTAAATGGGCAGTCCTTCAAGTGATTATCCCCTTACACTTTTTTATTAATATAAAAGCACTGAGTACTATTTGAGTGCATGCAGAAATTATAGCATGCTCTGATAAACTGTAGAAATGTTAAGAGAATTAAGTTTATCTATACTTTAAAACTATTTTCTCTACCATTTATTAAATTAATTGTTGTAGAAGAAATGCACACTCCATTTCAATTTAAACAATACCTGAATTACTATTTTTAGCAAAAATACCCATCTTGACTGGATAGAATAATTGTGCATGTGCTAATAACTAACATAAACTAATCTACAACTATGACCAAAACTAATACCAAAATATTTTGTTTTGTATATGCTAACTTTTAAAAACCACTCAATATCAAATTTTTAGGACTGTAGGAAATACATGCACTGAATATGAACATTAGTCTATAAATCCATGTAAAACACTAAAAAGTGTGTCAAATTAAGAGAAAAAAATAATTTTGAAAGACATGTGCTAGAGAATATTGATGACTATTTAAAATAAAATGAAAAATACAGCTGTGATGAACCTCTCAGATCATCCTAGCATTATTTTTAATGCAAAGGAATGCAACCAAACATTTACTTTGTTAAGCCATTAATATAATTCATTACCAACTATTGAGAATCTCCCAGTCTCTCTAATCTATTTCCTTCCTTTCAATTTTCCTTAGAAGCAGTAATAATACATTTTAGGTAAAAAGGAAAGAAAAAGAAAATTAAAGACTGGTATGCAGGCACATATCTATCCTGATTCTATGGGTAATCAGGAATGAGTGTCCTCTAACAGTTCTTTTTATGTAGCGTGGCATTAAGGTTAGGGTTAACGTGTAGCTGAGCTGAGGTATATCTTTTTAATTTCCAGGGATATAGGGAACAATGGCACTTATTGTTGGCCAGGATACCAATCAAACGTAGTAATATTGAGTCATAATATGCTGCTTAAACTACTGAAACCTTCCTCTTCCCCACCCCCAGTGATTCCTTGTACCAGCTTGTCTATATTTTTTATTGAAAATTTATATAATATATTGTTCTACATATGTATCTGGTTTGGACTAAGTGACCAATGGGATATAAAACATTGCAGTGTATCTTTACCTTTCCATAAAGGTAAAGGTCTAAAACTGGGGTATCTTGAATATCTTGGCATTTTGTGACCCAGAATAAAGTGCATCTTTATATGCAACTGAGAAAGGACTCTGCAAACTGTGCCTGCATGTCCCTGAAATTCTTGATTTTGCCTGTGTATTCTGATCCCCTTCCCAGGAAAACAACCATGACTGTTTAAAATTACATTAACAAATTAAAATATACGGCAATTGCCCTTAGGTCATACAGCAGAAAGAGAAACAGTTACTCAAAAAAATTTTCTAAATCTATTTAAATTTAAATATCTTTAAATATGTTATGTAAAATGCCTACTTTTTAACAACATACTATGAAACATTCATAGAAACAACAAAGTGAATCCCATACAGAGGAAAAATAGGGGCAATAGAAATTCCCTTTGAGAAGAGGCGAAGCATCAATTTAACAGATAAAGACTTAAACTGTCTATTGTAAATATTTTCAAAGAACTAAAGGAAACCATCCTTAAAGAAAGTAAAGAAAGGCATGACAAAGCTTCATCAATTTGAGAATAACTATAAAGATATTAAAGTTCTAAAAAGGAACCAAATAGAAATTATTGAGTTGAGAGGTATAATAATTGAAATGAAAAATGCACTATAGTAGCTCAACAATAGCTTTGATCTGGTAGAAGAAAGAATCAGCAAAACTGATGACAGATTGATAGAAATAATACAACCTTAAGAACAGAGAGGACAGAGAGAATGTGAAAAAATTATCAGAGTCTCAGAGAAATGTTGGACTCCTTTATGCACACCAACATGCCTAAAGGACTATGAGAGGAGAGATGACATAAGAGACAAGTGTTTGAAAAAGTAATGGCCAAAATCTCCAGAATTTTGATGAATAACATTTCTTCTGTACAAGCAAGAAGCTCAACAAACTCCAGGTAGTATAAATGTATAGAGGTCCTGTGGATCCAGCCATAGGATAGTCAAAATATTTAAAGACAGAATCTTGAAAGAAGAGAGAGAAAAACAACTTGCCATATACAATGAAGTCACAATAAGTTTTAAAACTGATTTCTCATCAAAAATACTAGAAGCCAAAAGACAGGGTGACATCTTCAATGTGCTGAAAGAGCAAAACAAAACTGTTGCGAGCCGACCTATCATACAAGAAACTAGAGAAAGTTCTTCAGAATGAAAGCACATAATAACAAGTGTTTTCAGTCTGAAACATTTCTAACTGAAAGTTGGTGCTCCAAATAAAGTGCACCAATAAAGATAATTATTTAGGTAAAATGTACATGACATTGCAATTGTGAATTTCTTCTCTTTAATTCTAGTATCTGATTTATAAAGAAATTGTGTGAAACAATAGGCATATTTATATTACTGGGTTTATAATATACAAATGTAATATAGTTTATATTAAGCAGAAAGGATATGAGTGGGAATAGAGCTGTACTGCACAGAGGAAAAGATTTCAGATGACAACTTGAATCCATGGGAACAAAGAGAACCAAAAATTATAAATAAGAAAATCTATATTTAAAAAACTGCATAAATATATGCTGGCTCTCCTTTTCTCTCATTTTTGTTATAAAACAAAATTATACAAATATATTATGCTTGTTTAGTTTTAAACATTCATTGTTGAGTTTTAATATATATGGATGTAATATGTGTAACAATAATAGGCGTAGAATAAAGGGGAAGAGGGAAAAGACATTTATAGGAGCAGTATGTTTATATTTCACTGGAATTGTTAGCATAAGTCTGAAGCAGAGTCTGATAATTAAGGTGGTAATTGTATGCCACAGATCAACCAAAAAAAATAAAAAAATATACTGAAAAAAATAATTAAAGAAACTAAAATCTTACAATTGGAAAACAGATGCTAGTCACAAAAGACTACATATTACATGAATCTGTTAACATGAAATTTACAGTTTAGGCAAATCTATAGGTACATAAAGTAGATTTGTGGTTGCTTAGGACTTATAAAATTGAGCTTGAGGAATATAGAAGACACTGCTAATTTTGGGGGTGATACAAATGTTTCAGAATTTTAATCAGGCTGTACAACTCTAATATACAAAAAACTATTGAGTTGTATACTTTACATGGGTAATTTCATGGTGAGTTATATCTTACTAATGCTATTAAAAAATAAATACAATTTGTGTTTTGTGTTCATAAGTTTTCTATTTTGTATCTTTGATTTTTTAAGATTGACTTCATGAAATGCCAGGACATAAAAAAGATAATTGAAGCTATGCGAAAGAATAACACACAACATAGAAACAAAAGATGACCTCCAATTGTATACTAAGTTATATAGGATTTCAGCAATTTTTAAATGTATTTTACATTTTATAATACTCCGGAATATTGGAGAACACAAATTTTTGACTTAATGTAAAATTCTCTAGCAGCTATAGGAGAATGTGTAAGTGTACACCTATTAAAGTCCATTTGACTTGGGTAATAGAATAGAAAACAGAAATCCCAAAATTTCTAGACATTTCTGTTAAGTTCTGCTGTGAAGTAATCTGGAGAAGGGGTTTACTAACTGTTAACAAATGGAGTTCTCACAATCTATATGCAAATAATTTATGCATAGAGCTCCTTATGTCTCCTTTTTGGCCAACAAACTTGAATACTATTGAGAGGTCAAGGAGAAATGACTATTTCCAGACAAAGAGAGTTGAGAACAACAGTGCCAAATGCCTTTCACCACTGGGTCAGAGATAAAAAAGTGAGAAGTAATTAAATGCCTGGATGTAATCCCCTTGTGAGACTGCTTTAAGGAGAAAAACAAATAAATGACTTTATATATAAGGCTATTCATCCTAACTAATATAAAGCTCTTAAAATAATCCATCCATCTATATATCAACCTAAAGAGCCATTATTCCTCATGTGGGATTTAAACTGAATTCTACATATGCTTTGAGCCATTATTCCTCATGTGGGATTTAAACTAAATTCTACGTATGCTTTGTCATCTGTCAATATACTGTAGTATTAGATACAAATGATTATAGTAAAGGGGATCTTAACAATCATAATACCAACAAATTTAATGTTATATGAATTCAAACCTGTTCATTTTCTCCAGCTAAGAATTTTGTGCAGTTTCTACTGAAAATGGGTTAGACAGTGAGATCCAGTTGAATATTAATTTTTTTTTTTACATTTATGCTTAAGCTAATTAATGGTAATATAAAATGCATGCTGTTCTCTTTCCAGAGTTTTGGTTTTATATTTTGATTTATGAATCAGTAAATTCAGTTAAAAGTAGAAAATATGTGGTGGTAAAAATAAAGGATCCTTTGCTTATGCCTTTATATCACAAGCATGGAGATAACCACCCATTATGTATGGGGAGGGTAGGGAGAGAGAGAGAGAGAGAAAGCACATGATCGATTTATTTAAAGACTTGGCTCCTGCAACGTGGAGGCTTGGCAAATCCAAAATCTGGTGGGTGTGGCCGACAGTCTGGGGACTCAGGGAAGAGTTGCAGTGAGTCCAAAGGAAGCCTTCTGGAAAACTAGGAAGAGCATATGCTGCAGATGAGCTCTGAAGTAGTCTGCTGGGGAACCCCTTCTTGCTCAGGTGAGGTCAGCATTTTGTTCTTTTCAGGCCTTCAATTGACTGGATGACTTTCATGCATACTACGGAGGGCAATCTACTTTACTCAAACTCCACCTGTTTATCCAAATTTTATCCAAATTTCATCCAAAAACACCCTCACAGAAACACCCAAAGTAATGTTTGACCAAATATGTGGTCACTGTGGCGCAAACAAGTTAACACATAAAATTAACTATTACAGTGACCAAGGGTTACTTTATTGATGAATCAAGAACAAAAGCAGTAACAGCTGTGGCTTATCAAGTGGCATCACATGTCACCTGAGTGACAGTGCAGAATTGTCTATTGATCTTGTATTTAATTTAGAACTACTCTTAGAAACCATTTATTTCAGAATTTGCAAAGATACTCTTAAGAAAGGAAGCCAAATTCTATATTCAGATTTGCATAATTTTAAGATCACTGCATTGTTCCAGATCACATAATCTAAAGCATTGCTCTCAATAAAACTTGTACTACTGACCATTATAATCTTGTTGCTTTCCATAGTGCTAACTCTTTTTTTTTTCAGTGTATTGTTTTTCTTAGGAGCAGTTGAAAGGGTACCAATTAATTACTATTCTTTTCATCCTAGTTCACAAAGAGTTTTTTAAATTTCTTTTCATAACGTAACGCTAATTTTCCACTTTGGTGAGTGTAGCACAAAACAGATTGGTCCCTTTCAAACAGGTAAGAATTAACTCAATATTGATTCTCCTATTAAAAGATAGGAACACCTTCTTATATACTTCAAATTCTTATATATTACAAACTTTAATTCAAATTTCCCCTAGTAACAAACATTAACAATCTTATATTTCCTATTTACTTTAGGCCACCCTCTCTGTCATGTCAATGATTGTACTAATTTAAATATGCCCAAGTTATTAAGTGCTATGTAATCACAGCTTGACAATAAACAATTAAATATGGTAGCTTAAAGGCCAGTGATTGCCACCAAAGACTGAGTGGAGCTAAATTTCTTGGTGTGGTCACTGTGCACCAGAGCCTAACTCCCTCCCCCACTGACCATGTTGCAGATTCCAAAATTCAGTATTATCCAGATTCAGAAGGGTTACTTGTTCTGTCACTCATTCAAGAAATCTAAAATAGTGTTAGTCTGGATATAAAGCTTTCTCATAACCAGCTTGCTTGTGTTCCTACTTCCTGAGGTCAATAGACTTTAGGGACAAAATTTTTCCTCACAATGTTGATTTGTAAACATAGAATCACAGAGTGCTGAGAGACATTTCATACAGATGGTGGTTACCTGCTGATATTTTCATATATAACTCTCTGGTTGTCAGAACATGTATCTTCCAGATTCTGTCTTTCTTCTCTGAGTACATTTAGATGTCAGTACCACATTTTGATCTTTAGTTTCCTTTTTTTGAGAGACTAAAGCTGACTGTATCTGTTCTTTAAAGGTAGTCGTTCTTCATACTGGGCTTAATACAGTTCACTTAATACAAAGTGAAGAAAGAACTAATCCATACAACAAAATCTAAAGATTATTAAGATATCATATTTTTATAAAATTGAGAGTTATAGTATTGACCAAAGATATTATCAGTAATAAACTTAGATGGACAAGAGAACAAGTTTATGATATTTAAATCTAATGATCTATAAATCATAAGAATCTGATGCATTGGTAATTATTAACAAGTATAGATATTTATCTATAGAAAAAAAAGTAATTTATATCTGAATTCCTACTTAGCAAGCAATGGCCCACTGTCTTTTTCTATTTGTAACATTAATGCAAATTTAAAATACAATGAGATGCTATTTTCCACCTGCTAGGTAGACAAATATTAAATATTTGACAGAATCCCATATATTCAAGATTGAGGTAATAGGTGCTGCAGTAGACTGAATGTGTGCTCAGTGGTATTTTTCTAATGAAGGGCAGTTTGGCCATATTGTACATCTTTTGAGATTCCACAATTATATATTTTATAATTACAGTCAGATACATAAAACGATGCTTATGTAAAAGAGTATTAATTATAACATTGTCTTCAGTAGAAAAGTATTCAAAGCAATTTAAATGTCCATCTTTAGGAAACTGGTGCAACAAACATCATGTGCTATGATAAACAATGACAGACTCCATACCTGTAAGTGAATAAGCAGCAATCAAATGAAATGGAGTGATGAAACTCTTTCAAAACTAATATGGTACAATCTCCAAGTAATATTCTTACCAAAGGAAAGCAAGGTGTGCTACAGTGTCCATATTGTATGCTATTTGTAATTTAAGGACACACACACATACATGCACATATACACATGTATACACATATGTACAAACATAAATAAATATATATTACTTGCTTATGTGTGTATATGTGTATGTGACTTCTTGGACTGAGTAAGATGCAAAAATTTTCATTGTGTACACTTTTTTGGTACATTTTGGATTCTGTGATACCTATAAGTATTAAGTGTATTAAAATTAAAAATTGTAAGTGAAGGAGGTAATGGCACAGCCTTTCCTCAATCTCAGACCCATTTATTTTACAGTCCTCAAATGAATGGGTTCTCACATACTTCTTTAAGTAACTTATCTGTGACTGGGAAGCTTAGAATAAACATTTAGAAATATAAAGGTATATAATAACTTTACACAGAATGGGAGTAACATAGGCTTAGAGAGCAACACTTAAATAAAGGTGCATTATCCACTGGCTCATGAAATATGGAATGGTGTAACATGCTTTTCTTGCAGGATTATCATAGATTAGAAAACAATGAGAATTCATCCACTTCAGTGATGTTACATATGGCCCAATCCCTATTCATATACTCTACCCTGTCCTTGAATATTTCAGAAATGAAATAGAAGAGAAAGCATATAAAAGCAAATCTAATTAAAGGAGGATTTAATCCTTGTCTGTCCATGAGAAGTTTCTTAGAAAAGAGGATGAGAATTTCATGTCCTAGATTAATACTGCCACTCTTCCCATCAAGATGTGTGATTTATTCCCTTTTACTTGAATGTAGGCTGGCCTTGTGTTTGTTAACCAATGGACTACAGTAGAAGTGACACTATAGCTAAAGTCAAGGTGTTAATAGATCTACTTCCTTCTGGAGTCTCCGAGGATAGAACTTGTTTCCTTGCCCTTTCTGGCTACCCATAAGCCATATCTTCTGGCCACTTTTCTAAAGCTACCCATAAGCCATATCTTCTGGCCACTTTTCTAAAGCTACCCATAAGCCATATCTTCTGGCCATTTTCTCACAATGACATCATCAACCTCTGCTTCCTTGTCATATCTTCTTTTCTTTCTGTATCTTACCTTCCTCTTTTAATGACCCTTGTGATTATATTGAGTCTATCAAAGTAATTCAGGGTATTCTCAGTCTCAAGATCCTTAAAATCACATTTGCAAAGCCCCTTTTGTCATATAGTTACATGTTTCAGAGACAATTAGGATCTGGACATTTTTTTCCTTTTGGTAAACAGAAGCATTATTTTATTTGCCATACCACTTGAGGGACAAGACACCTAAGTATGTTAATATGTAAACAATCTTACCATGAAACTAAGTTGGACCTTCAGATGACTGCAGCTGTAAGCCACCATCTTTTAGAAAACACAGTACACACCAAAAGAAAGAGAAGTAGCTTATTGGTAGCAAATCTAAAACAAAATTGGTCTGGCTCACTTGCTATAGCATAATCCTCCTGCTGACTTGTTCCAGGGATACCCACTCTGTTTCTGCCCCCAGTACTGCAGGAAGCAGTGGAAGCCCCAGATGCACAAAATAAGCCATGCAGGACAAAATAACATTGCAAAATGCTGATTATTAGATTATCAAAGGAATCACAGTCCACAACTTTTAGTCCAGTTTATGCATGAAAAAGAGATTGACCATATGCTAAAATTAAAAAAAAAAAATAGTACCAAGGGTCTCTAACATAATAGCCAAATCCCCAGAATAAAGTTGAAAATTGCTCATCATACAAAGAACTGAGAAAATCACAACTTGAGTAAGAAGAGACAATTACCTGAAGCTGAATAAGACCATCAACTGAAGCTCACACTGAGATGAATCTGAAAATGGAATTATCTGGGAAGAGTTTTAAAGTAGCCATTATAAAAACATTTCAATAATCAATAAAATTATCTTGAATAAAAAATCAAAGAAACATATATTCTTAAAAGAACAAAAAAGTATAAAGTATAGAACTGAAAAGTATAAATTAAAAAATGTACTATATGGTCTTAATTGCAGAGTGGAAATGACAGAGAATAGAATCAGTTAACTTTTGGACTGACTGATAGAATTTATCCAGTTTGAACAATAGGGAAAAAATAGACTGAAAAACAAAAGGAACTGAGCCTCATGGACCAATAGAATTATAACAAATATGCCAATATTTGTACCATAAAACCCAGGAAGGAAAGAGCAGAGTGGGATAGGGATATGAAAAAGTATCAAGGAAAATAATGCATAAAAACTTCTCAATTTAGTGAAAGGCGTATATGCAACAAACTGAGCAAATCTAAAACAAAATAAACCCAGAGAAATACACACCAAGAAATATATTAATTAAACTTCTCAAAATAAAGACAAAGACAAAATTCTTGAATACAGCCATAGAGAAATGAAACACTACTTACAAGGAAACAACAATTCTAATGACAGCAGGTTTCTCATCTACAGCTAGAAAAAAGTGGCATATTTTTCAATGCTGAATATAAAATACATCCCAATCTTAGATTCTTTAACTGGCAAAACTATCCTTCAGGAATGAAGGGGATGTAATCACATCTTTAGCCAAAGGAAAACTGAAACAGTTTGCTATCAGTTGACCTACGCTCAAAGAATGGCTTAGGGAATTCTTAAGACCAGAAAGGGAATGATAAAAGAGAAAATCTTGGGCATCTGATAAGCAGAAAGAACTTTAAGAGCAAAAATATAGGTAAGTACAACAGACTATATGCTTTCTCATTTATTTTTTAAGTAACATGTGATGATTAAAACAAAAATTACAACATCATGCAATACTTGAGATAATTGTATTTAATAGTGGAAAGGGGAAATGGACCTAAACAAAAGTAAGATATTCATATTCTACTCAAAGTAACAAAATGATAACTGTTGATTGTGGATAATGACTTACATATATTGCAATGGAAAGAGAAACCTCTAAAAAACTATGTAACATAAAGACAGAAATACCAAATAACCCACAAGAAGGCAAGAAAAGAGACACCTTTATTCCTAATAGCCAATAACTGGAAACAAACCAGATGTGCTTCAATAGCTGAATGGTTTAACACTTGTGATATATCCACACCATGCTTAGCAATAGAATAGAATAAACCATGATACATGCAACAACTTCAGCGAATCTCCAGGGTATTATGCTTAGTGGGAAAAGTCAATTCCCCAAGGTTACCTACTGCATGATTCCATTTATGTAATATTATCAAAATGACTGAAGTTAAAAATGGAGAAAAGATTAGTGGCTGCCAAGGGTTAGAGTTGAGGGGATGGAGGTGGATGTCCCTGTGAAACTGCAACAAGAGGGATCCTTGTAGGGAAGTAACTATTCTTTATTTAGGCTAGATCAATGTCAACATCCTTTTGATATTGTACTATGGTTTTGCAAGATAGTACCACTGGTGAAAATGAGATAAAAGATACATGGGTAAACTCTGTATTATTTTTTGTAATTGAATGTTTTATAATTGATAGAATAATATATACAATTTACCTCCACCTCTCATATTTGGATAAGTTATTTCATTATTCCTTTGTGGTTTTTACTTTATATTCACAGTAACAACTGAACATCCTCAAGCATCCTGTACATTGGACATGAATTTATTCTGAATTTGGGCATGAAACTACAAAAGCTATTGGTTTTCCACAAAGAGCTAAAAGATGCCATCACAAATCCCTGTGGAAAAGATGCCTGGAGACCTAAGTGTAATTTGAATAAGTCCAAACATTTGTTGAGTTGAGGCAATCTATAAATTAAATATGAACTTAGACTTTCCTTGCCTCTCAGGTGGAAATGCTATGGTTAAAAGAGTAAAGCAAATCTAGCTGAAAACTACAAATTGAGACCTAGAAAGGACACATTAAAAAAGGGCTGAACTTAACAACTGTCTCATATAGTCTGCAATGTTCTACCTAAAATTTTCTCATTACAAAATTAAAAAAAAAAGAATATATGGATTGCTGTAAAAATATCACATATCTTCTTTATATTTTCTTCTATCTGAAAAGTATGTCAGTATGCGCATATCAGCTCCCAAACTTTTACATGCCCCATGACTATTCAGAACATAATCATCTAGCTCTTTTGTACCAACAGCTGAAGAAACAAGGTAGACTTAAATTTCCATAATAGAGAGAACATGCACCTTATATCTACTGATATTTTAAATAGCTAGATAACAAATATGAAAATAATTATTTTTTCATAATACCTTCCTCCCTAAATTACATTTGGAGAAATAACTTATAAGATCTGACAAGCAGATGATTCACTCAGATATTTTCTTTATTCCACTGGCTTTCTAAGATTTTAGCCATTTTGATGTTTCATAACTCTGGGGGAATCTTGAAAGATCACTGCTTTCAAGCTACTGATTTATTTACGCTATTATTTGTTAAACAAATATTTATTTCCAATCGGCAGTACTTAGAGCATGATGTAATGTTACACCAAACAGACAGAAAATGAATCAGACATGCACTTTATCTCTAAGAGGTAGAACATCAGATGTTCCTTAAAAAAGCCACAAACCTAGATAGGATACATTATATGTATGAAATTCCTGCAGGAATTTAGAGAGGGAAGAATTCTGTGTAGTGACAGGATTGAGAGACGATGGGGAGAGGAAGATATTATTTTTTAAATGATATTTGCTATGAATTAGGCTGAGAAAAAAAACTCATTCATAGGCTACCATTTTCCCCAAACAATGACTAGGTTTAGAAGAAAGCTTGGCATGAACATTTGCACAAAATTCCTTCTAGTGTGCTCTCACATATGTAAACTTAGAGGTCAGTGGGCATAAATTTGGAACCGGTATAAAAATATACGCAATGCATACACATTCACCAGTATGCATGGATGTACATATGTACTAATCAAATGCAGCTAAAGTGTACAGTCAAAAATACATTTGATGTACAATCTGTAACTAAAAGTCTATAATTAAAGTTAAGTGAACAAATAAAGATGATCTAATGATAACTAAACAAAGAAAAACTGAAGATGGCAAAGCAACTAGTAGAAAGTCTCATTACACATGGCATCAATTCTGTAGCACTTGGGTATCTGGTTTTGATAGTATTTAAGAGAGCATGTCTACATTTTCTCTGCCTCTTATTAAGAGATAGCATATTAAGTAAAACTTTAGCCTTAATTACTGGAACTCTCTCACAATTTGTGGTTCTTTTATCATTTTAGAAGAGTTAAAATTGTATTATACGCATACTATCAAAGCAAGCATTCTTTAACTATATGCATCTCAATACTATCTTTCTGAATTTTTAAAAATTTTAATGGAACTACTTATGATATATTTATACACAAACAGGGAAATTTTTTTTACTCTTCTATTTAAAAATTAAAATTCAGTGTACATTATTCCAAACTGACAGTTCTTCCCCCATGACTATGTACCTAAATTGACTGAAATGAAAAAGGTAAAAGAAACGTAAAGGGCTTTTCTTTTTCAGAAACTTAAAGAGATGCAGCTGTTCCAACTAGAGTAAATGATTATAAATTATTAGTGTCAATCAAAGATGTGATTTCCATCTCCTGATTAAATCTATACAAAAGATCTTGAAACATACAGCTCAGCTGCCGTGAAATGACAAATCAATCAAGAAAGAATGCAAGTGAGCAATTAGGCTGTAGGCAAAAGATAATAGCATGTGGGTGGCATTTTCCCTCTCATTCAAAGTCCTGTTATTAATCAGAAAATAGGAGTGGCCATTTACTGATTCCACTTTTATTTAAACAATAAAGGTTTCAATATAAGCATTATGTACCATACAAACATTGAAACAACAAAAGAGAAAGCTTCAGTGGCTTTTGAACAAGTTTGCTTAAAAAATATATAGGTTTCTTCAAAACATTTAATAATTGTCGGTAGGTAGAAATTGCTTTGAAGAATACAAAAAAACTATAGATCACTTAATTAAAAAACAAAAATGTCGAGCTTTTTTCATGTGTTTTAGATTGATTTACACTCTTACCAAGTTGGTTGTCCTGTCCAATACAGTTTGATTTCCATCACTAAAGTCAAAAGACTTCAGGCAACAAGACAAAAATGTAAAAATGTTGGCCACATTGAATCCGCAGCTCAGAGAGAAATCTTGATTTTAGGAAATTAAGCCCACATTGTTTTCATCTTTATTAGTAAATATTTTTGATAAGACATAGTCCCTCTGACATATTTAACAGTATTTATGCTTGAAAATCATTTGAATATATTTAATGACAAAAACAATCACCTAGTTTTTGTGTAGAGGATTTTGTTTATTATATACATCCATTATATAATTTCAATATATAATTTTATTTTAAATTAAATATAATGTTTTCATGTCTAATTTTACAAGTGACTTAAAATTTCCTCATGAAAACATTGTCAATGTATCATATATGAAATACTTTAAAAATAACTATCAAATTGATCATTTCTATTTAAATTGACAACTATGAAGTATATCCCTTTTTAAAAGGTGAATAGTGTTATTTTTAAGCATGAAATGTATTAAGAGATCTTAATCAATATTTATAAAAATACTTTTTGGTATCTGTATGAAATAAAAATATTAATGCTACTAGGAATAGCTAAGACTTTTATTATTTAGTTATACTAGTCAGTATTAACAACAGGTTAACTCATTCTCATTTCATACATGACATGCCTGAAGTACAACAATTTGCATAGTCAAACAGCTCACTAGTGAATAATGTTAACTTTTCAAATTATACATACATCAATGTCTAACACTTAAAGAGTTCATAGTGATTTCTCCAGAAACATGAACAAATAAGTGATACTTGGGAATACTTGAAGAAATGCAATTTTATTTTTGCTGAGAGTTAGGAAATGCCAACAGTACCCTCATACTATTTGTACTCTTTTTCCCACCTACTGCTTTTTAAAGGTTGGATTGTAAGATGATCAGAGACATAGCCAATTCATCCACCAATGACCTATGTAAGTATTTTCAGTCTTCTTTTTCCTGTTCTGTATATAAGAAGAAACACATTTTAAATCTTGCCTATTACCCAGCCTTCAGTATCATTACTGCAGGACCTCTCTGAAACTCTTAATTTTTTTAGCCCAGGTAAATCACTAGGAAATAGTGTTAATGTGAACCCCCAGATTCTATAAGCCTAGAACACAAATCTTGAATATGTGTGTATGTGTGTGTGTGTGTGTGTGTTTGCGTGTGTGTTTGCACATAAATTATGTAAAAGCAGTTGTGGGTTTTGCACAGAATGACTGCAATACTAATCAATTCTTTCTTTTATTGACCTTTCATGTAAATATCTTATTTAAAACTGCAAGCTATTATTTTTATATAAAATTCTTTCACCACTAACTCTACAGGGATATATACTAGAGTGTATACTTCATGTGAAGATGGACCCTACCCTACAGAATTTTTATTCCACCATACGAGATCTGTCACAATAATGAACACAGAACAGGGACAAATATTGGCTTATTTTTAAGTTACCAATTGGACTTAAAACCTGAAGACAAAATAATTTTATCCTCTGTACCAATAATTTTCTATATTTCAAACTAAAAACTTTGGAAACCTATATGGGGCTTTTACATGCACCATTTGTTATACAAAAAATATTTTCACTCAATATTTTTTGCTTCAAAGAATGAAATAAACATTAGAAAGGACTACTTAGGATCTAAATTAGGCAATTGCAGTAAGTAGTACTATTTTGGAATATTCCATTCCCCTTCTTTTAAGGTAAGTATATTCACGTCATTGCTATGCAAGCTTGGTCATTTAATGTGGTCTGTAGTGATATGCCAATTCTAAGCAGAAGTTTTCAAATCTGTCGTTTAGCGCCAGTAAGTTCTCTTTTCTCTGAGTTATAATATGTGCAGTGCCCCAGATAGGGGCTATTCTTTAGCTTCATGTTCCAAATAGTAATGAACTATAGCAGAACCACTGTTTATCCAAGATAGACAAAACATTTTTGGTGGAAGCCTTTGACATTTGCGGTTGTGACCACATGATCCTAGCATAAAGTGAATGATACAGTGAAAAGAAGCAGAGCTTTTTTTATATAAGTCCTTTTATTCCCTGTTGCACACATTCTCTTTTTAAGAACAAAGCAGCATTCGACTACCTTCACCAATACAATACATATGTGAGTACCTACTATGTGCAAAGAAGACTAAGAATTTAAATTACATAAAAAGCACAATAAGCCAAAGTTTCATACAGGGCCTAATACTGTTTTTTGTAATAAAGAGAAAGATAAATTATAAGAAATATCACAAGGCAATCATGATACCTTACATACTGAGTTCAGAAAAGGGAGAATCCTCATGAGTTATACAACTGTTTAGTAAATATTCCTGAACAATGTGGAAAGTTAGTAGGATCTTAACTGATGGTAAATTTTAGGTGGGTGTGGGGAATACATTCAATGGTTAACAGAGTGAAAAAAGACACAGATGTAAGAATGAGATATAATCAAATTTAAACTTGGAAGTTCTTTGGGATAGTACATGTTACAGGACAAGAAGCTAAATCTTTTGGAGCCTTGTTTCCCCAAATGACGTAGACAGGGCATCATTCAACAGAATAAATGTATTCTGCAACTAGAGTTCTACACTCAAATTAGTGAGGGAGATCATGAAATAGGGAAACAGTGAAGAGTTTTATACATGCTAAGATTCTCAGAGAATTTAATATATTGATATATATTACAAATCTCTATTGTGTAAATATAATTTTCACTTTCTCCTAAAATGTCTATAAAATAACTCTTTTACATTGCATCTTTATTAATATTTGAAACAACACAATTTGGAACTCAATCTAAGACATGATTGTATCAACCAATAAAAGATTGTATATCAACTATACTTCAATAAATATATTTTTAATTTAAAAAATAAAAAGAGAAATGATTTATCAAAGTTTCAGTACCATACTAAAGGTAATTAAGTGTTCAATTCTTTACAGTATTGATTTCTGAAATTATGAAGTACAAATATTTTGTTAATAACAAAAAGTTTCACAGACCGCTGTAAAATAGTAGCTATACTGGATGTGTGTTTAACAGTGTTCAAAGTTGAATTGAAATCCCTGGGTTCAAATTCCAATTTGCTACTTACCTACTAGGAATGTGACTCTGAATGTATTATTTAACTTCTCTTAACTTCACCTTCTCAGCTACAAAATTGAAAACAGTAATTACATATGTCTCATTCCTTGTGTGTGCTTATGTGTCAGTATGTGCAAGTTTTTGAGTGTGTGCCTGCATAAAACTGAGTGAAACAAAATAAAAGCTCAAAAATATTATGGGTTATTTAGAAATATGTATTTTCTTAAACTTAAGATTTTAAACTTAAAGCTTAAACTTAAAAATTGAGTAGAATTTAAAATTAGTATTTAGTTAAAAGCATCATACACATTTGGAAAACTGTAGTATCAATTTGTGCTAGATATTTATTCAGTGTACCATCAGTACATGATGTGCACATAGATTTACAATCCCTTTTAACACTCTGAAAACTGCTCTGGGAGCTGCAGAATAGCTGAAGGTTTTTGAAAAGAGGAATGATAGAAATCAAGATATATTTAAGAAGATAAATTTTGTGGAAACAATGTAGAAATGACAAGAGGTGGCAAAAAGATGGGTGAAAAGCCTATGTTATTCCCAAAGAGCCATGTGCAAGTATTATTTCACTAAAAAGTCAATAAATGGCTTCAAGGCTAAATTGTTTTCATATGCTTTAAAAATACTCAATTATTTTCACTATAAATGGAATAAATAAAATCAGAGAAAGTTTTATAAAGAAGCACAAATAGAAAGAAGAGAAAGTTATGAAGTATATGATTCCTAGCTCATGAAACTAATGCTGAAACAATTCTTTAGCACCACCACTGCAGTCCTAAGGACACTGAAGTCCTGTGGCTTGTGTGGCTCTATCAGGTTAATGGCATAAACTCTGACATAGAATGAAAAATGAGGAAAGGTGCATTAAATCTAAGTCTCAGACTGAAATGAACTAGCCTAGGTTCCTGAGAGTTCACTTATCTAAATTACAATCCAATTCACTGGGAAATTGTTTACATTCAATTACACCCACCATACCTGCAGTTGGTATTACCTTAGAGCATCTTCTAAAGATGATTTGGTGCAATACCAATTTTCATTTGAGGATAAAGAAGAGTCTATGATTGGTCCTATATGCATTTTTACTGAAGTATGGACTGAATTAGACAGAAGTTTGAAATTAAAGGGAATTCATAGTAAATGAAATTTACATAAATAATCAAAAAATGAAAGCACTTCTCAGAGAAAAGACATGATTATTGCATTATTACTGAATCCAAGGTTTGTTAATTACCAGATAAAGCAATTTATTTTGGTTGCATCCAATTAAGATAATTTAGATTCCATGATATTGTTGTTATTATTGGAAAAAAAATGAAATTAAGAAAAAAGAATAATATTAGGGAAGGTAGATCTCTTTGTATTTGCAGACACTTGTAATTAATAATTTAAAAATGTTAATATTTTAATTGAAATACTTAAAAATTGAATTTAAATTAGAAAATGTTCAGAAGAATTACAATTTTATTCAAAATTTTTATTTTGAAAATGGAAAGATAACATATGCTGCCCATGTTATTATAATGTATTAAAACTTATTTAATAACATGTTTTTAATTATTTCTATTGTATCAAAATAATAGTCTGTGTGACAATGAATTTCACTGTCCTAGAATAAAAAGCAAAACTAGATACCTATTTTAAAAAGCCTCTTTACCACTAATGTACTAATGTTGCTATCTCACAAATGATTTTTTATGAATCTACTCTTCCTCAAAGACCCTTTTCACATATTTGTCCTCATTATATTCTCAAATATAAATATGTACATACAATTTATTTGGTACTAAGTGGATTTATAGAAGAACATGTAGACATGTAATTCTATCAATTCAGGTGTAGTTGTGGTAGAGCAATATTCCTTAATAAGGCTGTGGTTTTAGCATATTCCATAACTGACATGCCATATATGGCCTTAGCAAGGTAATGAAAAGATAACCTGCTCCTTATTTTATTTCCACTACACCCTGATGTCATAAAATTCTTCATTAGAGGATCTTTACTCCCATTGAAAATGTAATTGCATTACATTGTGATTGAAATAGAGTAATTGATAACTTAATATAGACTGTTATACAGTAAAGAAGCTATCCTTGAAACTTTGGTATCCACAAAACTAAAAATAAATAGATACACAAAAGAATTAAAAAAAGAAATATAGCCACAACACTAAAGAACACCATCAAATAACAAGAGAAGAGTATAAGAGATGAAGAAAGGAACAGAGAGGAATTATAAAAACAACCAGAAAACAAATAAAATGTCAATGGTATATACCTATCAATAATTACGTTAAGTGTAAATGGTCTGAATACACCAATCAAAAGACACGGAGTGGCAGAATGGATAAAGAAACAAGACCCATCTATATGCTACCCTCAAGAGACTCATTTGAGACTTAAAGACATATACAGAGTGAAAGTGAAGGGATGCAAAAGGTTATTTTATGCAATTAAGAAGCACAAATTGATAAAAGGCATCAACACTGGTAAGGAAGAAGTTAAGTTGTCACTAATAGTGACATGATATTATACATAGAAAACCCTAAATACTCCACCAAAAAGCTATTGGAACCAAACTGAATTCAGCAAAGTTGCAGGATATAAAATTAAGACACAGAAATCTGTTGCATTCCTATATACTAACAAACCAGCAGAAAAAGAAATCAGGAAAACAACTCCATTTACAATTGCATCAAAAAGAATAAAATACTTAGGAATAAACCTAACCAAGGAGGTAAAATACCTGTACTCTAAAAACAGTAAGACACTCATGAGAGAAATTAAAGAAGAAACAAATAAATGGAAATACATTCTGTGCTCATGGATAGGAAGA